CCACTAAATACACATTTGTGTGCACACACCACAACATACACTGTATTGCCAAAAGTATTGGACCGCCCTCCAAATCATGTGATTCAGGTGCTCCAATCCCCTCCATATCATGTGATTCAGGTGTTCCAATCCCCTCCCAATCATGTGATTCAGGTGTTCCAATCCCCTCCATGGACACAGGTGTATACAATCAAGCCCCTAGGCATGCAGACTGCTTCTACAAACATTGGGGAAAGAATGGGTCGCTCTCAGGAGCTCAGTGACTCCAAGCGTGGTCCCGTGATAGGTGGCCACCTGTGCAATAAGTCCATCCATGACATTTCCTGGCTACTAAATATTCCACGCTCAACTGTTAGTGGGATTATAACAAAGTGGAAGCAACTGGGAACAACAGCAACTCAGCCACCAAGTGGTAGGCCACGTCACATGACAGGGCGGGGTCAGCGCATGCTGAAGCGCACAGTGCGCAGAAGTCGCCAACTGTCTGCAGAGTCAATAGTTAAAGACCTCCAAACTTGGTGTGGCCTTCAGATGAGCCCAACAACAGTGTGTAGAGAGCTTCATGGAATAGGTTTCCATGGCCGAGCAACTGCATCCAAACCTTCCATCACCAAGTGCAATGCAAAGCATTGGATGCCGTGGTGTAAAGCACACCGCCACTGGACTCTAGAGCAGTGGAGACATGTCCTCTGGAGTGACCAATCACGCTTCTCTGTCTGTCAATCCAATGGATGTGTCAGTTTGGCAGCTGCCAGGAGAACGGTACTTACCTGACTGCATTGTGCCAAGTGTAAAGTTTGGTGGAGGGGGGATTATGGTGTGGGGTTGTTTTTCAGGGGTGGAATTGGCCCCCTAGTTCCAGTGAAGGGAAATCTTAAGGTGACATTTTGGACAATTTCATGCTTCCAACTTTGTGGGAAGAGTTTGGGGATGGCCCCTTCCTGTTCCAACATGACTGCCCACCAGTGCACAAAGCAAGGCCCGTAAAGACATGGAGGAGCCAGTTTGGGGTGGAGGAACTTGACTGTCCTGCACAGAGTCCTGACCTCAACCCCACAGAACACCTTTGGGATGAATTAGAGTGGAGACTGCGAGCCAGCCTCCTACTGCGACATCAGTGCCTGACCTGACAAATGTGCTTCTGGAAGAATGGTCCAACCTTCCCATAGACACCCTCCTAAACCTTGTGGACGGCCTTCCCAGAAGAGTTGAAGCTGTTATAGCTGCAAAGGGCGGGGCCAACTCAATATTGAACCCTATGGACTAAGACTGGGGGGCCATTAAAGGTCATGTGTGTGGAAAGGGTGGGGCCAACTCAATATTGAACCCTACGGACTAAGACTGGGGGCCATTAAAGTTCATGTGTGTGGAAAGAGAGGTGGCCCAATACTTAGGGCAATATAGTGTTCTTTTGATGAATTTAGTAACAAGAGTGGTTTGCTATGGAGTACACACTGCGGCGTCTGAACAGATGTTGGGTAAGTTAGTGATTAACTTGAAAAAATTTTGATTTTCTTTGATGTTTTTGGATACAGTTTAACGATGTTAGGGATCTTGCATGAACATCTAATGTAGAAAAAAACACTTGGATTGCTCACTGGTCATTTTTGGCAACTGTAAAAAAAAAAACAGTAAAAGTAAAAAGCACAGTGCCACCATGTGGGGATATCACAAACCTGCCATGGTGGGGGTATCACAGTCCTGCCATGGTGGGGGTATTACAGTCCTGCTATGGTGGGGGTATTACAGTCCTACCATGGTGGGGGTATTACAGTCCTGCCATGGTGGGGGTATTACAGTCCTGCCATGGTGGGGGTATTACAGTCCTGCCATGGTGGAAGTATTACAGTCCTGCCATGGTGGGGGTATCACAGTGCTGCCATGGTGGGGTATTACAGTCACAGGGATGCCATGGTGGGGGGTATCATAGTGCTGCCATGGTGGGGATATCACAGTGCTGTCATGGTGGGGGATATCACAGTCCTGCCATGGTGGGGTATCACAGTGCTGCCATAGTGGGGGCATTACAGTGCTGTCATGGTGGGGGTATCACATTGCCGTCATGGTGGGGGTATCACAGTGCCGCCATGGTGGGGGTACCACAGTACTGTCATGGTGGGGGTATCACAGTGCCTGCCATGGTGGGATATCACAGTGCCGCCATGGTGGGGCTGTCACAGTGCTGCCATGGTGGGAGTATTACAGTGGTACCATTGCCATGGTGGGTGTCATAGTGCTGCCATCCATGGTGGGGGTGTCATAGTGCCGCCATCCATGGTGGGGGGGTGTCATAGTGCCGTCATCCATGGTGGGGGTATCAGTGCAATGATCACAATGATAACACCTTGTACATACGCAGCTCTTTTTGGGGGTATACACTCCATACTGCACCTTAATGGAAGAGAAATCAGAAGAGCCGCCATATTTCGATGATTGCATGCTGGTGGGGGGACTCCCTGCATATCATGTATGAATTGTCAGATCTGGGATTGTAAGCATGCGTACCACAGTGATCTTCCTTGTGTGTCTTTAGTAAACCAAGCCCAATGGTGTCTGTATTTCAGTCCAGTGTTTCTGCAGTTCAGCATTTGTCTCCTCCCCCTGCGCAGACATTACACCTGAGCGCCAATCAGCAGGGAGCAGTACATACAATGTAATGAAGAGGAGTAATAAAGAAACCTCCCTACTTTTTTGTCCCCCCAGCAGGCAAAAGAAGAAGATGGGAGGTCTCTGGTGGTCGCGCTGTCCTGCCCTCCTGTCTGCTGTATGCAAGCACAATGCCTGGCATCACAAGGCAGCCCCGGGCCCCGAGACTGGCATGCAGGAGTGTCACCTCTACTCCAACTGTAAGTAGAATTGAGGAAGGGATAATGATCAGAAGGGGGTGTCTTATCTGAGAAATGACCCCACCAGGGGGCGGATGCTACTTGTCAGGGCTCCCAGGTGTGACCAGAGGTGTGTGACTGACGCAGGGAAACGCAGACTTCAGATATGTGATAAACAATATAATTTTTAACACTAACAATACAAACATAAACGCAGTGCAATACTAAAACATAATACAGTGCAAACAAACCAAACCAACCACCCACAGATAACAGTTATACAAGCAAGCGTCGTCAGGCAGGCCGGGTCAATATCAATTGGCAGGTAGGTACAGGGGGAGCAAGCAGAGAATGAACCTCACAGGCCTTTTCAGCAGGTAGCAAGCAGCGTAGTACAGAAGTCAAGCAGAGGGATGGTCTGGGGTCACAAGCCAGGGATCTGGACAGGTCTGCTGAATCAGACAGGAACAGAGCACAGGAACAGGATACAGGGGGGAGAAACACAACACAAGGCAGCCCCGGGTCTGCAGACTGGTCTGGCCATCCCTAAATACCCAGCTCATCAGTTCCAGGTGTTAGCTGGCTGAAAGGTTGATCTCTGATTGCTGGGAGCACCCGCTGGCCAGCCCTGGTACTGCAGATCAAAAGGCAGAGAGTGAGTCCCACCATTGCTGGCCAGTCCATTCCTAACACTACTGGCGCATAAGGAGGCGGAGAGGAGACACAGGAAGCTGCAGTGCTGTGGGCTCTTAATTGTGGTGTCACCCTCCTGTCCATGCAGTGTGGCATTCTATGAATGGACAGCGTTTGGAATATTTGGGCAGGGAAAAGAGTTCACAGTTAGGAATTTTGGCTGTTTTCCCCGAGTTCCATTATAAAGCAAAGTATAGATCATGGAGCTCTGCCACAGTCCCTCCCCTGAAGAGCTGTTCATTGGGCCCCGGGTGCGGACTGACCATTTGGAAACTCTGGCACTGCCGAGGGCCTGGGGTCAGTAGGGGGCCCCATGAGATGCCCCTGGTACCTTTTTCATAGGCTTTTTTTAGTTTGGGCAAGGACACAGGGGCCCCATGATCTCCTATTGCCCAGGGGCCCCATGAGTTGTCAGTCCGCCCCTGATTGGGCGGCACCTTTGTATGATGTGTGCACGGCTGAGGCACAACAGAAAACACTGCGAGGAGCTGTTCCAAATGGAGGGGCGCACAATGACGCAACAGAGCCGGGTATTTATTTATTTATTTGTTACTGGTGCAAGGTTCTCCTTAAAGGGCCAGTCCACCCAAAACTCATATTTTAATATTCGCTGGAGATTCCCCAGACAGTTCCTTCTGGGGCGTTCTGGTGATAGGTTTCTGTATCTGCTTTCACATGGTTGAAGTTTTGATTATGTTGCAGAGAATGCAGCGGAAGGAGAGAGACCACTCAATGATAGATGGGAACAGAGGCTGGAGATCTTGTTACATGTAAGAGGGAATAAGAATCCAGCAAGTGATTCAATCCTATAAATCTACTTGTAGATGAAACGTCACTTTTGGGTGGGTAGACCCTCTCACACAGAGAGGTGGGGAGTCCTAAGTGACTACTGTCACTTTATTATTTTGATGGAGTGGTGAGGAGTTAGGTTGTTGCTGTCTGTGTCCGCATTGGGTAGATTCACCCTCTCTATTTCACCTGATGACCACACAAAGAGTGATGGGGAAGCCAACATTTTTGGTGGTCAATGGGGATAGAGGGGACATCCTCCAATGGCCCTTCTAGTGCTGCAGATCCGGTGACAACGGTCTAAAGAGGGGATTTCCTCTCACTTTGGAGACAAGTCCTCCCATTTCCTGTTGTGTCTATCGGACGGGAATCTACTCCATTCAGAACTACAAAAAAAAAAACGTTCTGACTTTAGTTACACCTTATGAAGACTGTTCATGTTTCCTTGTTGAACACTAAATGTCTCTAACCTATAAACAGTCCCGGGAATTTCTACCAAACTGTCCCACGACCAGTCATCAGCTCACCGATTTATAGCAATCGAGCTTCATGTGAAATATTGTCCTCATATCTGCCGTCATCGGCTCCTGTACTGTGTATGGTGACCATCTCCTCTCTCTTCCCGCAGCCTCCTGCTGTCATGCCAACTTCACCGAGAAGATATCGTCGTCTCCGCTGATCCAAGTGGATAATTTCTACTGGAACAGATGTGGGAACCTCAGTAAACCGTGAGTATAGAACAGATTCGGGATATGTTGTATCATTTATATGGAACAGATACGGGATACATTGTATAATTTATATGAAACAATTACTGGATACATTGTATCATTGATATGGAACCGATACGGTTAAATTGTAACATTTATATAGAACAGATACGGGATACATATGTATCATTTATATATAGAACAGATATGGGATACATTGTATCATTTATATGATTATACATTTATATAGATACAACATTTATATAGATATGGGATACATTGTATCATTTATATAGAACAGATTCGGGATACATTGTATTATTTATATAGAACAGATTCGGGATACATTGTATCATTTATATATAGAACATTGATGCAGATATGGGATACATTGTATCATTTATATAGAACAGATTCGGGATACATTGTATTATTTATATAGAACAGATTCGGGATACATTGTATAATTTATACATTGTAATTTAGATTCGGGATACATTGTATCATTTATATGGATTCGGGATACATTGTATCATTTATATGGAACAGATACGGGATACATTGTATCATTTATATGGAACAGATACGGGATACATTGTATCATTTATATGGAACAGATACGGGATACATTGTATCATTTATATAGAACAGATACGGGATACATTGTATCATTTATATAGAACAGATACGGGATACATTGTATCATTGTATATATAGAACAGATACGGGATACATTGTATCATTTATATATTCGGGAACAGATTTATATGGGATACATTGTATCATTTATATGGAACAGATACGGGATACATTGTATCATTTTATATGGAACAGATACGGGATACATTGTATCATTTATATGGAACACGGGATTCGGAATACATTGTATCACTTATATAGAACAGATTTGGGATAGATTGGAAAGACTTACTAAAACTGGAGCACACAGAGGGGGGGATTAAGGCCGATTTCACAGAGGGCGGACTTGGCTATGATCAGTGGGAGGATCTCTCCGCTGACCCCCTGCTGGTCAGAACAGAGCAGGCAGATAACAGGTCCGCTCAGTTTATGCAGAGAGGACACAGACACAGCCCATTCTGCTCTATGGGCAGCCAGGTGTAAATGAACCAACTGTCCATTTCCACCCCCAAATTCTGTCCGACCCGATCCTAGACAGGGAGGAACGAACCCCCTTCTGTTGTTTGTTATCGGATCAGATTAGAGGTAGGCAGGTGTAAAGGAACACAAGTCTGTTTACACCCACCAGTCCATAGGAATACATAGAATACATAGACCAATCAGGACCTGATCATATCGCCCGTGTGAAAGGAGCCTTACTAAAGCCCCGTACACACAGGCTGAATTTGTCGTGACGGTAGAAACCAGCCGACCCATATGCCTGTGAAACCATCGGCGTCAAATGACAGCTTGAAAACCAGCAGCCAATTGTCTGACAGAATTCGATCTCATGATCGGCTTCTGCCAAATGAGGGCATGCTTGAAATCCGGCAGCACAATTGGCATCTGATCAGCACATGCAGGCAATGGCTGCGAGTGGTAAAATTGTATCATTAGTACAGAAACCTTCTGGCGAGCTCCTCAATTGTTCTTTTTCGTTCAGCCCAATCGTCTTGCCGTGTGTATCAGGCTTTACATTGGGAAAGATTGCAGTAGGCATAGAGGCGCCCCATCTGTGTGTCCTGGCCCAGACCGGACACCAAAAGCCTCCATCGTGAGGTGACAGCCAGGTGCACAGATCTGACCCACTGCAAAAACTGGGGTAAAGTGCCGCAAAACCGGAACCGAGAATCTCAGGTATCTTCACTGGAATGATAAATGTTCTGTATTTCTAGTGATCGCCAAAGAAGACAACCAATCTGCTCATGTATGGGCCTCCATCCTCCAATGTGATGTCCCGATGGAAATGCATCTCTTGTGTGTAGACATTGCGAGTTTACTGTTGCTTGGAATGGCCGCGTCATGCAGATGTGGTCCTTCATGCGTATGGAAAATCTGTTACAGACACAGAGCTGGGGTTGGATTGCAGTGTGTATGGCTGGCTCACAGACAGATGGATCTGATTGCTAGCTCTTGGGGATCCCTCAGTCCCAGTGCACTGTAGTATCTGGCAGTGGTTGGGTTAATGGTGTTTCTGTTGGCGGGATAATCTTTCCCATCAGATATTAATGAAGTGTATCCAGGCGGGCAGACTCAATCCTTCCGCTGGGCCCTGCGGTCTCCCAGCATCCCCCTGGCCTGGCTCTGGAAGCCATAAATATTGTGCAGAGCAGCAGGGCCGGATGAACAATGACAACGCTGGATGTCCGGGTCCCCGGAGCCAGTGGCTGACTCCACCAGCCTCTCTACTGATTAATACAACACCTCGGCCTGTGTGCAGAGGCCCCCGAGCAGCTGCCACTCTAAATATCTCAGTTCCAAGAAAAGATTTTACCTATGTCAGGGCTTAAAATTTCAAGTCCTGAGCTACTAGCCGGGCCTTAAGAGTTACTCGCCACCAACAAACACACAAACAGAGACACCTGTACACACACACACAGACATGTACATACACACACACAGAAACATGTACATACACACATACAGACACATGTATACAGACACAGGCACGTACAGACACACACACACACACAGATACATGTACATACACAGAAATACACACGCACAGACACATGTACACACACACAGAGACATGTACATACACACACACAGAAACATGTACACACACACATACAGACACATGTATACAGACACAGGCACGTACAGACACACACACACAGATACATGTACATACACAGAAATACACACGCACAGACACATGTACACACATACACACAAAACACACACACATGTACATATACACACACACATGTACACACACACACATACATGTACATACATGCAGACACATGTACAGATACACACATGTACATACACACAGACACATGTACATGCATACACAGACACACACACATGTACACGCACGCACGCTGTTAAGTGCTCTCTCCTCTCCCCTGAAGCCACCAATGGCTGACATAGAGGATCACGTGATCAGAGTGAGCTGAAATTAGGTAGACACACACACAGCCCTATAAAAAGTTGCAGTACTTCGTTGTTCACTCACAGAGCCGGATACTGCACTCTAGGGGGAGGCAGAGAGCACAGCACACACTCCTTCCTTTGCTTTCACTGCGCTCAGCTATTGAACAATCTGACGGCTCCCAGTGCCAATGACAGATCCGGCCTGAGCTCCGAGCCTGCTCAGCAAGATGGCCCTGGGGGACACATTCCCCCCCACCATAATTTCCGCTTGCCATTGGCGAGCAGGCGAGTGGAAATTTCAAGGCCCGACCTATGTCATTGTGAACAAACAGCCGGGTGCAGAATGGGGCCCTAGGTAGGGTAGTCGCTTTGGCCCCCCATTTTTTCAATTGACATTCATAAGGATTGCAATAGACCCCCACCACCAAATCTGCATTGTCTGTGCTGGACTGATCAGACACCCAATGCTTACAGCACACCCTTCATCAGCAGGAACATAAAAGTTGTCCCTGGGGCCCCAAGGCTCCTGTCTAGCACACTTTGATTAGCCTCTGCTTGTATGGGGGACATATGCAGATTTGGAGGCAGAGGAGGAGTAATGAACTAAAAGTCTGACAGACGCGGCTGATCATTATTCCAGTTTATACAGAGCACCGCCACATCGAAGAATATGAAGGCCGATCCCTGCAGAAAATGCCGCTCATCTGGCTGTATTGGTGGTCCTCTGCCTTTAGTACGACCCGAAGAAGATGGGAAGGATGGGAGTGTCATAGGAGTTTATAATAAGTCCAGCGTAGATTTATCAATATTGATAAAAGATCAGAAGGTAGACAAGTGCGGTTCGTTTAGCTTCTAATTGAAATTCGGATGAAATTTTTGTTTTTCAATGATTTGGATGTTTCTGAATTACTATAGGAATGAATGTAAACGAATCTGAAATAACGACACAAAATTTTGTCCGAAATTCGATTCGAATTTGAAAACAATTTTGAAATATAAACATGTTGCTGATTTTTGCAGATTTCCTTCAAAGACTGTGTGTATTATTGTTTAGAATATAGCGATCTTCAAAAATTCGAATTTTGAAAAGTATAAAACAGAATAGGATAAAATATAAAAGAATAGAATAGAACAGAAAATAAAGTAGTAGAATATAAAAGAATAGAATAGTAAAGAATACAAAAGAAAAAAAGAATAGATTATTATTATACAGGATTTATACAGCGCCAACAGTTTTCTCAGCGCTTTACAAAATGAAGGCAGACATTACAGTTACAATACAATTTGGTACAAGAGGAAACAGAGGGCCCTGATCCTGGGAGCTTACAATCTAGGAGGAAGGGTTGAGTGATACAAAAGTCAATGGCTGTGAGGGATGAGCTGATGGGGGAAGTAAAAGGCAATTTACTAGTTAGAAGCAGGATAGGCTTCTTTAACCATTTCCCTCCAGACCTATGGCCGAATGGCGGCCGGCAAAAACCCTCACCTTTCCGGGTGGACGCTATATGGCATCCTTTCGGGCATGCGCAGTTTGCGTGCCTGTACCTTGGACACGGCTGATGACAGATCTGAGTACCGGCCCCGTTGCTGGTACCATGTGACCTGCTGTGACCAATCACAGCAGGTCACATGACAGTAGTATACAATGGATGGCTTCATTCATGCCATCCATTGTATACTAGTGTGTCTAGCTGTGAATGGTCACAGCAATCACATGCACAAACTGGGCCAATCACAGCCCAGCTGTGTCATGTGATTAGCCATGGCCAAATCACAGCTAAGCACAAAAAAAAAAAAAAAACCCTGAATGAATCGATGTCATTCAGGTAAAGTAATTCTTTGCTATAAGCAAATTGTGTAAAAAAATAAATAAATAAATAAAATACTGATCACTTCCCCAAAGTAGTATAATGTTACTATGGTAACATTGTACTACTTTGGTCATAGTGAAATATGAG